GCGACCGCCCGTGAGCAGCAGCTTTCAGATCGAGCATAGGCGGAATGAAGACGCCTTTCTACTCTTCACCTTTACCCGGTCACCGTGCACTGACCTAAACACTGACAGGAACCACCTTCAAAGAAGATTCTTTTCTGCCCGTGCTACCCTCAACCGGGGTGAGGGGCGGGGGGAAGAAGGTGCTCTGCACTAATGAATTCCATTTGACATGAAAATCATGCACTGAATATGTTATAGTGACAAGTCCTCTAACAGCCAACCAACACAAAACCTGTGCCATTTACCCAACACATGATTACTCTCTCCTCCAGCACAACTGCACTTGAAGGGAAAAGCCACCCCACCCGCCTTAGGTGCTTGGGAAAGCTAAAGCAGGACTCAGAAGCGGTAAGTTCTGAAGTATTTTTTCCCCCCAAGGAACCTGTAATAAGCTATTGTATAATATATGATTCAATTTGTAAACATATATAAAAACAGCTGTGGTAGAGTATAAAACAGCAGTCAGTGACAGTAGGAGTTTTATTTCCATCATCAACCCTGCATATCAAACATTTTTATGTTTAAACTTCAGTGTCTTCTTTCAAAAAGTTCAAACAGCAATTTTTAGAAGATGTAAATGTTATTAAAAGCTTGAACTGCTGACAACTTAACAAATGTGTCCTCAGGAACCCTACTGTACATACACCTTTTAATTTTTCTTTGTGTAAAAAAATAAGCAGGGGCATTCAAGTTATCTACAGTCTCTTTCAAACTATTTCAGTTTGACATTTATTTTTCTGTGTTTATCAATACAGATTAGTTTCCCGGCTCAGGACAAGCAAAGAATAGGTGGCGTTTTACTACTCAATTCAGGTCTGATCCTGCAAAGTTAAGGCAAAGCTAAGGAGAGTTTTCTTGATGCTGACACGTGTTTAGACTTGGCCTTTTAGCCCATTTAAGTAGTTGAAGGAATACTCCTGTGCTAACTGTGCCCTCTATAGCAAAGGCTGTTGTAGCAGATGAATTCAAGTAAATCGGGATATTCTGTTGTAGTCAGTCAGTATCGTACTCCTCTATTTTTAATTCATCTTCCTCCCTGATTGCTTGATCTGCAATAGGCTGAGGCTGACTACAAGGAAGTTCATTTCCACTGCATTGAATCAGATGGATTTCCTCTCTCTTCCAGCCATTCTTGTTTGTTTTATTTTGCTCTGTCTGTACAGCAGTCTCCATAGTATTCGTAGCTGCAAGGTCCCCCCTCATAATTAACAAATAAATCTGGTATTCCAGGATCTTTATCTGCGAGTGTTTCCAGCTTTAACCTGCAAAATTAGCATTGCAACAGCAAACATGAAACATTTTCTCTGGTAGCTATCTTGCACACAAACTGCAGTAGAAAAGACAACCTTCAGAGCATACAAGTCTCTCCCCATTGCTGCTTTACAACTTTCAAATATTTTGACAGCAACAACCCACATTCATCAGAGCCAGTCCAAGCCATTCACATGCTTTTCTTTCATCACTTTATTATGGTTCACAGCTCTGGGCATATCTTCCAATTAGAGAGATTTGTGCCCAGAACTCAACCCTATATAACTCTCTTAAGAATGTATAAAATACGCATTTCCCTCAGGAAGAGGGCTGCACTACGTAACCTCAATTCAGACTGTCCACAGCAAAGTACTGAATCATGTTTATGTTCTGTCACTCCCCAACATCTGTGGTTGAAGCTTCTTCCTTACAAGAAGTGTTTTTGCTTATCTTTCATTAAGGGGATGAACTGTTAAATATTAACTTATTGACAACATCACGTGATATATTAGACTTTTTTCCAAACAAAAACTTAAGCTTAGGACAGGAAGCAATTTAAATTGAGACAGAAGAACTAAGAGCAGGCACTGAATGGAAAGGATTCTTTAACTTTGTATTTATGTGCCTATTAGGACTCTCAATCTTTCTAGCCCCTCTTTATGAGGGCACTATGAATGTTCCATTACATATTCCCCCCCCACACTTTACATAGTATTAACAAAAATTCCCAAAGTTATCAAGGCTCATCTGACACCAATTCCAACTGAACAAATAGCATACACGCTCCCTAATAAATTTTCTTACTACAGCAGTATTCCTGTTCCACTGATAATACTTCATTTATTTTCCATGTTGGTTATTTCTTTTGCAACAGGGGGTACATCTGTGAAGCCAAGCTTATTTTAAGACATGCTCAGTAAATAACAATAGAAAATAGTTTTAATTAGAATTTCCTGAAGGAAGTAGCACTTACTGAAATGTCTATATCTCCCTATACTTTACCCCACCCCCCCCACACCAAACCAACAAACAGCATGAGAGTCTTTTCAGGAAAAAAAAAGTTACCCAGCAGATAAAACTAAATGATACACCTCAGACATACTAATGCAGGTAGAAGATGTTCCAGATGAACGTTATACATCATGATAAACAATGCACAAAGCATACTACAATATTTGTTTAAATTCACTGTAATTCTCACTTAAGTCTTTTTGATTGTAAAAGCAAATTTTTATCCAGACTTTGCACTGGATAGTCATACATATGTTTAAGACAGAAAACTAGTATTTGATACAAGGGAAGAGAAAGCTAACCAAGGGGTTAAAAGGAAGAATATAGTTAAATTGTTCCTGCTAGCATTGTCATTCTAAGTAATTTTAATTGAGGAAAAAAAAATGGCAACACCCAAAATGAAAAGTGATCAAGCTGATTATGAGGGAACATCTCATACACTATATACGCTAGAGATGTTGCATCATGAAAACTTTTTTTTTTTTTTAATATATTACTAAAGGTTTTTTTTGTTTGTTTGTTTTAAAAGACAGTAAAAATGAAGCTTACCTGCCAAAATGTCTTTTTAGTGGCAGCCTCCCAACATCCTGGATAAAAGCAATCTGAGCTGAGGACACAAAGAATCACCAGTAAATCATAATGCAACTAAAATAAAGGACACTAAAAATAAATAATTCATAAGTTTAAGTGGTCCTATGTATTATCTTGTATACACAGAGTTTATATATATATATATATATTCAAAGTATATTTATCACATTACCGTTACATTTTTACACATGCAGAACAAAAAATCCTTATCATTCATACATATTTATGATATTGAGTTATTAGCAAATATCCTACAAAATTAATTCATCTTGATGTCACAGAATCACAGAACAGTTGAGGTTGGAAGGAACTTTTAAAGATCACCTGGTCCAACCTCGATGCTCAAGCAGGATCAGCTAGAGCAGGCTGCCCAGGACACTGTCCACATTACTCATATTTGATTCTATCTTTAAAATTTATTCAACTGAAAGTCTTAAAGTTGTTTCCAACCTAACTGGTCATCTCATATTTTTGTTATGTTACCCAAAACATATATTGGCTATATGTGTGTGACATTTTCTTAGTGAGAGAGGAGAATAGACAGCATTGACATTTTCAGTTACAAACATTTTTCAGTATGCTTTAATGATAAAAACAATTAAAGAGCAAGGGCTGTGCAGATATTACCTTAGTTTCTCACTGGATTTGTTAGCATAGCAAGATAAGGCAATAGCTCTGTCTGAAGACACTCTGGTGGTAAACAGAAATTTGAAAAGAGAGATTTTGCTGCAAGGCAGTTTTCTTGATACTGTTGTGAGGGGGAAAAAAAAGTAATAGCATGATAAACTTTATATTAATATAAATATTCTGCATCATAAAAGCAGTATTGTTTTTGGCTGCAGGATTATTATATGCAAGCTATCCAGCAAAGACATAAACAGTTAGGTTTAACATATACTGATCACAAAAATGTTATTTTTTTTTCTTTTTTTGTCTTTTGTTGGACATTAAAGTTACCTGAATATATTTATCATTTGATTACAGAATGTCCTATCCATGCAGGCAAACCTTTTGTTGCTCGACACAGTAAGACAGATATTAGTTCAAATTAAAAAAAAAAAAAAATTGAAGTCTAATGAATGAGCTATTTTTGATAAACGCATAAAACAAGAGCAGTAATTCATTAACCTTATAGAACGGTTTAAACTGTTTTAAGCTTTACAAACTTGAGCTTATTGTTAGGAACACTTTATTTCAATATCAATTGTCTCTCTCAACTTGGACTTAGGACTCTTCCAGAAATATGCTAACTTGAGCACAGGAAGCAGATTTTTAAAGGCCCCAATTTATTTTTCCTCTGCATTTTGTTTATTTAAAGTAGCATCTTATATTAAGGTAGGAAACTTAACAGGTTTAGCACCACACACATATTTCACATGCACTACTGAATTCACTAAGAAATGAGTGTAATGTGTAATACTTCACTCAAAACATGAGGTATTTACCTTTTTATTGATAAAGAGCCATCGGGGCTTGTGTAAAGGACGAAACCCCATTCCTCCCTGACTCTGAGCAAAGGCTCTGGCTGTATTTGAATGTATCACACCTCGGGTAGCCACAGATGCACTGTATTTTTCCATCACAGGTCATGACTGAGAGAGAAATCAGACATTATACGAATATGCATCATCTCTGTACTGAGTGCCTTATTTGAACAAAAACACATTCTGTAATTTTGGTCACACAGACATGATCAGAATGCATTTAAGTTACTGTGAAACTTCCTCAAAGAAAGTGAATGAAAGAGCTAGCTCAAGTATTCAATAAATTTTTAGTATAAATTCATTGTATTTGAAAATATTTTTATAAAATTGTATAAGTGTAAGTGTATCAGTATGTTATTAAAATAAGTCAGACAAACTGTACACAAGTGGCTGTATCGCTCCTACATTTGATGTAGTCTAGTATTCATTAAGAATTTACTGTTACATGTAGTATATTAGAAGCAAAACAGTGCGATTACTTATTAAACAAATACTTCCAACTATTCATAAAAACTTACCAAAAAAATCTTGAAGTTCAATTTTAGAGTATGAAAACGTACATGTATAGAAAAGGACACTTACATTCCAATTGCTACAAAGGACATCAGCAGTGCTCAGATATTCACTGGCTCTCACAACATCATCTATATTAGCGAAAAATTCCACATAGTTCTGGTGAAGGTATAAATTAAACATACTTCCAGACATATGCGATTTTTCTACAATCTCCTATTTAATAATAATAAAGAAAAGGATCAACTTAGATTGCAAACGCTGTGAAAGAAAAAAAAAAAAACAGTAGAAATTATGATGCATTTAGCTAGCTAGGGAACTGGTGCACAGGGTGGACAAGGAGATGCTCACATACAGAAGGGAGGCTGGTTTGCTTCTAGGGAAGAACTGGTGAAGGGGGCAGA